ATACTATGGAATTAACTAAAGTTTACAGACAAAATGATAAAGGTAATTATAGTCATGATGATAATAATAATAATAATAAGAAAAGGAACCAAATAATAATATTTACTGTAATTATTATTACATATATAAATTTAGATTTGGTTAACATGTTGAATGAGTTAAGATTTGGAACTGTGACAGGTGAAACAAAGAAAATTATGAAATCACTAGAGAAAGAACGTGTATATCCTGATGATGGTATTGCTGTTTCTGAATTGTAAGTAAGATGGTACTTTACCATCAGTTAATATTGTTATAATCGTTACACATAATTTACATATTTACATGCTTACATGATTGTATTATGTATTTACCCACGCCTTTATTATATTCTTAGATATCCGTGTAATAAAAGCGTCGATGAAATTAATCTTCGAAAATTAGAAGAAATCCCACACAAAAAATATGAATACTTGGCCAGTGACTCAAAATCAAGTAGTGATGTGCAAGAATTATTAAAAAAGAATTGTATGGCAAAAAAGACATTAGAATTGAAACGTGGTGCGCAAGTAATGCTTATTAAAAATTTGCCAAAAGACAATCTGGTAAATGGCAGTAAAGGTGTTGTTGTTGGGTTTTATGCGGTGCAGAAAAACAAGAAATTTTATTCGGGTGAGGATGAATCGTTTAACGGTGATATTCTTTTACCAATTGTAAAATTTACGAATGGAGTAGAAAAAATTATTTATGTTTCTAAATGGAGAGTCGAAGATTCAAACGGAAAATTGCTGGCTTTACGTCATCAAGTATGTTTTTTATTATTGTGTAAATATATATGTATCCTAATAATAACACGATCATAACTATTAGTTACCACTTATTCTTTCGTGGGCGATCAGTATTCATAAAAGTCAAGGACAATCATTTGAACGGATCAAAGTCGATTTGAAGGATGTCTTTGAAAAAGGTAATTATAATCACGTATTATAAGTATAGTATTTTTTAATTTTTCAATTAATATACTTAAATAATTGTTTTTTCTTATTGAAATATACATACACGCGTGCGTATATAGGTCAGACATATGTGGCACTCTCTAGAGCAGTGTCACTTGAATCCATTCAAGTATTAAATTTTAGTCAGCGTAAAATAATGTCTGATCCAAAAGTGGTGGAATTTTATAAATCATTACTCAAATACAATGAAAAAAGTGATTCTCTATGTACTATTGATTATGATAAGGATGGACAGGAAGATCTGGACAATGTTTTCGGTCAATTGGCCTTTTGAACACAAGCTAATTGACCATAAGGACAAAAGGGCTAAAAGAAAACTAATTGGACATTATAAGTCCAATTGGCCCATAATGTCATAACATATTAAACTTAATTTATGAATTTTATCAAATAACTAAAACAAAATAATCTTTTAATTTTATTTCAAAATACGTTTAAAACCAAATTTCTCTTTTATTCATTTATTAACAAAGTTAAATATGCAGGTTGCCCAAGAGGGTCTTTAAATAGATCTTGTAATTTTCACTTTGCTTCAACATCATCAGCAGGATGTATAATGTTAGAGGTATCAACAAATTCCAAGTCTTCATCTACAAGCATTGTGTTTTCTAATATATTTACACCATCCTAAAGGTCTAGTTCAATCCAATTGTATGCCGGTTGGAAACTGATTTAATATAATCTAAAGAATTATTGGAAATATGTTCTTTTGACTGATCACTTTGACTATGTTCATTATTTGTAGTGTTCCATGTCGCAATCCAAAAAAGGAAACCAGAGTGGTTGCAAAGGTGGTTGCAACCAGGTGTTGCAAACCATTTTTATATGTCACAAATATGGTTGCAACCATCACCAAGAATTCTTGTAATTTTCACTTTGCTTCAACATCATCAGCAGGATGTATAATGTTAGAGGTATCAACAAATTCCAAGTCTTCATCTACAAGCATTGTGTTTTCTAATATATTTACACCATCCTAAAGGTCTAGTTCAATCCAATTGTATGCCGGTTGGAAACTGATTTAATATAACCTAAAGAATTATTGGAAATATGTTCTTTTGACTGATCACTTTGACTATGTTCATTATTTGTCTTGGAATCTTCATCACTTGATATACCAAAACTTGATAATTGATCATTGTAATCACCTTCATTTTCATCTTCACTTATATTCATATGTTCAGCACAAAATGAAACATTTGATTGGGGATACTTTTTTTTGTTCTTTTATAATACCTTTAACTAAATGTGTATGTCGTATATTATCACATAATTGACATGTATGTAAAACTTTATCAAACTAAAAAAATTACTACTGTTATTAAAAAAAATAAAGTAATATTACATTAATTAGCATATATTTGTAATATTCATAAAAACAGGAGACCGTCCTATATAAGGAATGTAATTACACTTTGTTGTTATCATATTTTTGAATCCCATAACTTTCATAATACAATTTACTCGAAGAAAAAATGTCTGAAATTAAACATTGCACAGAATGTAAAACCACTGAATCAGCTAAATTTCGTCAACTGAAAGGCAATAAATGGAAAGAACCCGAGAACAACAACTTGGTGAAAGTAACGTGTTGTTTTATGTAACATTTGTTATATGAATTTTGTAGAAAATGAGAACCTAGGAGAGTAAAAACCACAAATGCGGAAGGGGAAGGGGAAGGGGAAGAGGAAGAGAGGTAAGTGAAAAGATTTATTTCACTAGAACCATCAAGGTCCTATATACAATTTTGATGAAATACAAAGATTGCTCCAAGAAATAGAAGCAAGCTTGAAAGGGTTTTTTGACCAACTCTATTTAGCAGCTTGGCCATTTGAACGTAATGAACAAATAATGGACCATACGAAGGGATTAATGGTGTGTTCATGTGTTATCTTCTTGTTTCATTAAATAATACAAAAATTAACTCTTTTAAGTTCGACTACAACATCAAGGGCAGTAGATCGTAAAAAGAAGCAAGTTGCAGATGAACATGAGAATGTGTTATCTTCTTGTTTCATTAAATAATACAAAAATTAACTCTTTTAAGTTCGACTACAACATCAAGGGCAGTAGATCGTAAAAAGAAGCAAGTTGCAGATGAACATGAGAAATATGTAAAGAATGCACTTACAAAAAATACATTCTTGTTGAATGTTGACGATTATCATAGATTCACATCCAGAGACAATATGATACTACCAGTATATCGAGCACAAAATCAGTATCCTTTAATTACTAAAACTTTGCTACTTCTAGGAAACCATCTACAAACATTTTTTGCAATTACGTATATTGTGATTACACTAACTATACTAATTTGAATAATTGTAGTGTACTCATGTTATCACAATCATTGTCTACAAAGGTGTCAATCTAAATGTTTGATATCTTGGACTATCTTCAAGTCGAAATCAAAAAAATGTCAACAC